GTGAGTGGGTGAAACCCCTGAGCAAAACCCCGTGTTTTTTTTTTTTTTTTTTTTTCTTCAGATGCTAAATCTATAGCACTCTGATCTTGAACTTCCCAGCTTCTGGAACTGTGAGAAATAAATTTTTAATATTTACATATATATAAAAGAATTGAGATGACCCCTGTGCCAGCAATCAGTACAGGTCCAAAAGTAGTTCTAAAGGCCTCTGGCTACGTCTGGGGATAAATTTTTAATTACTGCATCATGGGGAGGTGCAGGTGTAGAATTCTTGGGATAGGGTAAGCTGTATTGGGGTATCTAGACAGCATATGAAAGCAGCTCTTTACCTACCAGTAAGGATGAATTTCAATATATACAACCAGTATGGGTGTACCAGTATACACCAGTTCTGTAGAAAGCAATATACAGTAAATAGACTTGTTTATTTTAAAACACCAGTGAGAACACTGATTCCTTTAAATTCATGATAGTGTTTTGTTTTTTAATCAAATAGCTGTTATTATTAATGGAAGCAAAACCCCTACAAGCTCTGATGGTTTAAAAGGTCTTAAGCATGTTAGACTGGGGATTTAGCTCAGTGGTACCTCACCTGCCTTGCAAGTGCAAGGTCCTGAGTTCAATCCCCAGTACCCCCCCCCCACACACACACAAAGCTGGGCGTGGTGGTGCATTCCTGTAATCCCAGCACTCTGGAGGCTGAGGCAGGAGGATCACTGTGAGTTCAAGACCAGCCTGGGCTACATAGTGAGTTCCAGGTCAGTCTCAGCTTCATAGTGAGACCTTGTCTCAACAAACAAAAAAAGTCTTAAGCATGTTAAACAGTCAAAGAAGAAACAAAACTTTAAAAAAATTTTTTTTTGCTTTTTAATTGAGTTTATTGGTACATTCTAGGGATACAGTACAGTTACATTCATTGTTAGGATCTTGTACCTTTACAGGACAGGTGTTGGTTCTCATTTTTTCCCCTTGTCCCTGCCCTCCCTTCACCCCTCCTCCCATTCCCATTTTCAACCACTTTATTTCCATCTTTTCATTTTCTCACATTTTTTCTTTTCCCTTATTACCCTTCCCCTACCCATCCCACCTTCCCTACACCTTTAGACCATTTTGAAGAAACAAAACTTTAACCCAGCATCATTATACCTGACTGTCTTGCATTCATGCAAGCATTTTAAAGAATGGTTTTTAGCTTACACACACCTTGGGGATAGATTGCATGGCTTTTCTCAACTTTTTTTTTTTTTTTTTGGTGCTTATATAATTACAGGATGTACTAAGGGTGAATCATTAGCTATCCTTTCAATAGTTCTGTAAAAGTGCACAATAGATGTGATCTGGTTTTAAGTATCAACTTTTAAATTATGTTAATAGTAAAAGAAGTCTTGTCTAACCATCTTTATCTGGATTAATTTTTTTGAAGGTCATGACAGTTTATTTTTTAAAAAACTACCACACTGATCATGATGACCAGTATACACATGATAATGGCTTTTCTCTTAGATATTATATCTGGATCAATTTAAGAGCTCTCCTAACCGCACCTAGAGTAGCTTAAAAATATATAATTTTATCTGTCTGAAACCAGGTATTTAACCTTTGCATAATTCCTTGACAAATAGCAGGTACTCAAATGCTTATGGAAATAATCAAAAAAGAAGGATACTCTAATCCTTTTTGATATTTTGGAGCACAAGAAAGGTTAGGGGTAGGAGGGGGATCTGTAAAGGAGAAAGGGGAATCATAAAGAGAAAAATGAGATCTAATTATATTGGTTATTATTCTAGAGCATACTGAAACCAATTACACATCATAAAATGGGATCTAGAGTTGGCAGCTTATTTGAGAAACACACACACACACACGTATACACTCTCATTTAACACCATCTGAAAGCCATTAAAGATAATTGTTCATTTAAATTGTTGAAGATAACTTAAATTGTTAAAGATAGTTATTCACTTAAAGATGGATAAAAATTCCCAAAAGAGTACAAATAGTTAAAAATATACAGACAAATTCTGACACCTGAAGTCAGTATTTTCTTATATCAGCTTTAAAATATCCAAATTATTTTATTAAAAAGGGCATGGGCTGGGGAGATACAGCTATCTGATCACTTGTATTTTTTGTATCACTTGTATTTAGCAAAATGTATTCTTTAAAAATCTGTAACAAGATTGGGATTGGAGCTTAGGGGTAAAGTATATTCCTGGCATATGTAAAGCCCTCATTTCAATTTCTAGTCTTGCAAAAACAAACAGAATCCATTACTATAAATACAAAATTTAGTGAAAAATTAGACTTTAACTTGATAAAAAAATTCAGTGTCCTATAGCATATATATATATATTTATAACTGGGGATTGAACTTGGGTCCTTGCGCTTGTGAGGCAGGCAGCGGCACCACTGAGCTAAATCCCTGGCCCTCTACAGCAATATTTTGTTTTACTTTTCTTAAACATTATTTTGAGATAAAATTCCCACACCATAAAATTAACCCCTTTACAGTACAAACTCAGTGTATTTTAGTATATGTATTCACAAGGTTGTGCAATTATTACCACCATCCAATCTCTAAACATGTTCATCATTCTCTCCCAAAATCTTTCATCTATAAGGTGTCACTTTATACTTCTCCTTCCACCCATCCTTTAGCTACTATCAATTTACCATATATTCAGATTTGTCTTTCTGGACTATTCATATAAATGGAACCATATTTTATGTAGCTTTTTGTGTTGGTTCCTTTCACTATGCATGTTTTTGCTGTTTAGCTATAACATAAGCATGTACCAGCACTTCTTTCTTTTCACTGCCAAATAATACTCCATTACATGAATATATCACATTTGTTCATCTATTTATTAGCTGCTGGGCATCTGGGTTGTTCTCATTCTTTGGCTATTATAAATAATCACGCTATGAATGTTCATGTACAAAGTTCAGAATACGCATATTTTCAGTTCTCTTAGCTACATACTTATGAGTATATAAGAGTGGAATTCCTAGTTCATATGGAAATTCTGAATTAACTTTAAAACTGCCAGACTGTTTTCTCTATTTTACTTTTACTATTTTTTTTGTACCAGGGATTGAACCTTGTGCTTGTGAGGCAGGTGCAGTGACACTTAGCTAAATCCCTGGACTATGGCTTTTAGTATTTTTTATACATGTGATACACACATACACACACACACACACACACATTCAGTACAGAAATTTTAGAAATACAGAAATTTTAGAAATAGTAAACAAAATAGTAAGAGTTCTCCCATTAGGATACATATTCTTTTTAAGTTTTGTCCCTACCATATATGCTTATTTTAAAAACAAAAAAATGGACTCATATTATAGATACTGCTTCCTAATCTGTCTTTTCACTAAGAAATATAATGTGAACATCTTTCTTCATCAAATATTTAAATCTACATCATCATTACTGTCATCATTTGTGGTACCTGAGACCGAACTCAGGGCTTCAAGCATGATAGTGAAGCAGCACTCTACTTGCTCTTAATTAAATTTTACTTTGAGGCAGGGTCTTGCTATGTTGCCTAGGCTGGCCTTGAATTCATCTTGCTTTGGCCACCTGAATCACTTGTACGTTCCACTGTATGACTCAGTCATCATTTTATATTTAACCAATATCTTACTGTTTTAAAAAAAAGAAGCAAATACTAAGAAATGTTTTGAAATAACTAAAGAAATATAAACTAAAGTAAATTACACCTTTACAGAAATTAGGCTTTTTTGGTATTAACAATCTTTGGAAAAATTGGTTTTCTCAGTTGTTTGGTGACATTGTGAATATGTCCAATGTTTAGGAAAATTAACACTAATCATTACTAAATGCCACTTTAACCTTAATACACTGTTTATTTCTAGGAATTTGTTTTAAGGAAATGATTTAAAATACATACATGCACAATGTTCTTTGCAGCATGTATGGTATTAGTGAAGTCTAAGCTATGGTATAGCCACTAAATAGTATACATACATTGAAATATAAAACAATAGATATTTTTGCACAATCATGAAAATGTGGAAATGTTTATGATATAATATTTAGAAAGGTAGTAGACTACAAAACAGAATATATGACTACAACTTCAAGTATTTAGCTCAGTAGCACCATGTCTGTCTTGCAAGCGCAAGATTCTGAATTTGATCCCTGGTACAAAAAAATGTATTATGAAAATGAAAGGTAATAGGCAAAAAAGTATTAAGAGATGAAAATGTAGTTAAATTAATAATTAAACTATATCAGTTAGTTGAAATAAACAAGCATAGATATTTCAGGTATTTTTCTCCCATAATC